CCCCCCCCCCCCCCCCCTCCGGTTGCTCGAAACTCGCAGGCTCAAAATTTAGGGCCTTCATGGGGCCTTCTTCGAGCTCGGGGCTTCAGGGCCTTGCCGGTTCTGAGCTCTAAGGACAAGCATTGCCGGAGAGCACTGGGTTACAGCACGATTATGTCCCTTGCATGGGTGCAAGTAACCCCCTATAGTCTCCATTGTAGTTCCTTTTTGGCGATGACTTATAAAATCCTTAAGATATAATTGGTTAAATCAAAAAACGAACTACAATGGAGACTACAGGCCCACTTCAAGACCTCTGATACCTTGGCAATCCCTAGAGGACAGACTTAGATCCTGAAGGCTCTGCGGTGATGGCGGTGCACGTGATGGCCTGCTGATCCGAAAACTGCACTCAAGAGCCCCAAACTGCAAGCCCTGCAATCCCAAACTCCCTGATTGGGTTGCAGAGCTTATGGTTTAGAGTCTGTAAAGAGTTTACCCCAAACCTCTAAACCCAAATTCATCAAGCCAGAACCGGACCCCTGGAAGCCTCAAATCTTAAACCCTATAGAACCAAACCCCTTCAACCCTCAACCTCGAACCACGAACCCCCGGCTGAGCCCAAAACGCTGCCGATCATGTAGCCTGAGCGGCTTTGATCTGAGATGCTAAGTCTTACGGCTAAGTTTTCGTATTTCGTGAAACGAATAACCACCGTCGAGACTTAGCCAGCGTGTCCCAAAACCTACTTACAAAACCCCAAACCTTAAGCCCTAAGCCTGAAACCCTTCAACACTAAAAGCCAAAGATGATCCTCCGCGCTGTCAATATCATATCCTGATGGCTCTTTCTCCAAACGACGTAGATTAAGGTACCAGGGTAGTTTCAGGCGCAGGGGTATAGTCTAGAGCTCTTGCGACTGGGTCTAGTGTACCCGTGTCCCTGCGAATCCTAACTCAACGGGGTATGTATGTATATATGTATATATATATATATATATGTGTGTGTGTGTGTTTACATGTTTCTATACACATGAACATACATACATACATATATATATATACACAAATCTGTATGTATATGTATATGTATATGTATATGTATATGTATATGTATATGTATATGTATATGTATATGCATATGTATATGTATGTGTATGTGTAAATGTAAATGTAAATGTAAATGTAAATGTATATGTATATGTATATGTATACATACACATACATACATACATACATACATACATACATACATACATACATACATACATACATACATCCATGCATGCATGCATGCATACATACATACATACATACGTACACACACATGTATATATGTATGCATGTATGTATGTATGCATGTATGTATGTATGTATGTATGTATGTATTTATATATGTACGCACGTATGTATGTAAAACCACACACATAACAGGGTCCGTGTCTATGCATGTAGGTATGTACACACACACACACACTGAAGCACATCACATAACAAAACATAGCATACTGCAGCGCCACATAACGTGCCATGCCATTACACATTCTAACATTACATGACAATGCGTTACATTACATTATACTATATTGCATAATAACACTACATTACATAGGTGTACCGGAAATTACAATAACACTACATAGCATGCAGTCATACATGATCGTATACAGGCATGCATATGTGACAACATGCATATATGTGTATGTGTGTCTATATATATATATATTGGATTTTTTCTCTCTCTCTCTATATATATATATATACATACACTTCTACACACACACACACATATATATATATATATTTATAGATACATACATACATGCATGCATGCATTGCCTAACTCCTCACGAAGTCGGGCTACCTCTCGCTCATCCTGCTCACGGGCTTCCTCCTGCTCCTACATACTTTGTGCTCCTCTGCACTTTCGGTTTCTGCATCCTGCAGGTTTGCCGTCTCATACAGCATCTTAGCCTCGGCAAACTCTCGGGCGTGCTGTTCCTCAAGCTCCTGCAAAGCCTGCCTCAACCGCTTGAGGCGATGATCTTGCAACGAACGTGCAGACTGCTCAGCTTGCTCGTAGCTCGCACAGGCACTTGTAGCTGCCCTCAAGTTCCGAGGCTCGCCCAAGGATCCAGCAACCCTTAGGACCACCAGGCTAAGGGTTTGAACTCAGGTGATCGAGTCGGAGGGTTCGGGTTTAGGGGGCGAAGAGCCTTGGACCTCCCAAGATCAGGGTTCAAAGTTTAGGGCTCCTAAGCTCTAGGATCCTGGGGTTAGGGCTCCTGAGGTATACCCATAGGCCCCTAAGTAGCTCCTTTTTGGGGATTACCTGGTAGGATTCTAAATATGAACCATAAAAAGGAACTACCTAGGGGCCTATGGGTGGGGGTTCAGGGTTGAGGGCTCCTCCGAGCTCAAAAGGGCCGATCAAGTCTTTACCGTAGTCCAACCCCCCCCCCCCCCAAAGTCCTAATGTAGGAACCTGATTAAGACACCCTGGCCCTATAACCGCAATATATTAGGGCTCATATTCAGAACCCTAATATAGTCCCAGGGTTTCTTAATCAGTTCCTACATTACCTTCTTGGCTGTGCCCCTACATAATCACATGGTAGCCCATTTGATTGGTCCCTCAACCCGAGAACCCTTCCTAAAGCCCAAAGAATTGTCCAGGGCTGCTTCCGGGGGCATGACGCCAATAGAGGCGCACGAGGCGCACCTTCTTTGGAGCCCCTTCGGGCGCTTGGCCTGGTCAGCGTTTAGGGTTAGGGGTTAGGGCTTTACAGGGTTTAGGGAAGGAGATTATAGAAGGGTTGTATGATGTGTTGTACATTGCTTTAGGGCTCAATAGTCTCATTTAAACCTTAGTTTCATTTCCGATCAACCGTGTCGCTAACGTTCGGAGGCTGGTGTGGCTTGCAACGACTGTGGGCAAGAGACAACTTATCGGGCTTACTATAGGGACTTGAAGCACATATCGGGATTGTGGGGTAGTTTAAATGTTAGTGTTGTATGTGCGACAGGGAATGATTATAATCGCCCCATGAGGATTCCGGTAAGTCTTGTTATAGCCACTATCATTAATTATTCAAGTCCTTACAGCAGGCTTTGCGCTTCAACAAATCTTTGATTCGGCCTTGCGGCTTCGGGCGGGTGTGTAGTGTAAGCGGGGACACTTCTCTGTTCGAAGTCTTACAAGGCACTTACAATCTCCCACGTCATTGACATGTGTTGGGGTCCCAACCCGGAACCTTATAAACCCCAAACCATCAGGGTTTCTCCCAATGTCCTGAGAGGTGGGCCTGCATTTGCTGTCGTGCTTGCGGTGTGCATGTGGGAAGTACTGCAGATCAGGGTTCTGCGAAATGGCCAGGACTAGTGCGTCATGGATGCTAGAGCTCACCAATCGCCGCAAGACCTTGCACAACTTGCAGCCTATTAAATTAATTAGCATCCGGCACTGGCGCCTTCCTCCGTCTCTACGCGCTCCACGTAGTCGTCGTGATGCCAGGGATTGCAGGCCGCCTGCAGTTCCAGTTTCAGCTGGCATTTCGGAGTCGTATAGAGGGGAGTACAGTGCTGAGTACCTGGGTCTTTTATAAACTTGGGATTGAATACGGGTTGTCGGTGCCTTGTAAAGGGCCTTCATTGTGGAAGGCGCTGGCCGCTAGAAAAGTAAACCGCTTCCCTAAACTGCGCAATCCCAAAGCCACACCGCTCCTACCACTGCCTCCGCAGTCAGGAGTTTCTCAGAACCAGCCCTCATGGTACCCTAAACCATATCAAAGCTTCATAACCTCATCCGGAAACCCGAACCTCTGAATCTTAAACCTTCAACCCAGAACTGCAAATCCGACACCCGCCTCGATGCTCTCGCTCAGCAGGTGTTCATCGCCATGTGCCAAAGCGTGGAGCTCTTCATCGAGAGTCGCAGCCAGCGTGTCCATCTTCAGCTCCAGCGCTCTCCACGCATGGCTAGCCACCGTATGCCTGGAGTTTTAGGGCAGAAGGGACTCCCCAAACCCGAGACCAAGGTCTTTCGGGCTAAGCCCTCGATGCTTTTTGGAAGGACTCTGCCGGATTTCTGGCATGCGAGAACCGCCTGAACTGCAGCACCAGAGGACTGACTGTCGAGGACATGCAATTAGCTGATGACGCCAAACATCTTGGTTGCAAAAACTGCAGCCCTCAAACCCAGGCTCTTACATTCTAGCTAAACTCTACACCTGAAAACCAGAATCCACACAGCACAGCGTCTCCTAAAAAGCAGGAAAGTACCAATCAGCCATGCCAACGTGGGCAGTACCATCCGAGGGTTTATAGGGGCTTATAAGGCTACGGCCTTTCAGCAGTATTCCTCATAGCACTTCACCGCGCTACCTGCTTCCCCTCGTGGCAGAGTGCATCCAGCTTCTGTGACTTCAAGGTGTAGCGTATTGGCTTTGGTTAATATAGGAGGAGCTTTAACAAATAGAATATGGCTTCGGGGTATATGATTCTAGAATCATAACAAGGAACCCACAAAATAGTATTGGTAATTGTGCAGGCCCCTATATTAGGGCTTAGAGTTTAAGGCTTGGTCTGCCGGCCATTAGCTTGGATTCCTGACTAAAATGACTAAAACACAAGCAGGTCTCTTGAATCTTCTGGGTGACGTGCAAGCAGCTAGTTTCCAGCAGTGAAACCATGCAAGGACCTACAAAAATGTGCAGTAGAGTCCGACAGGTTGGACGTGTGTTCAACCTGGTGATTCGGAAGTTCCCTACTGTACGCTTCTCTGCAAAGGCTTAAGGACAGTCATGTTCCGGTTTCCTGCGTCATGCAACTCAGTATGTTGTTTGGGTTTAGGGTTTAGGGGTTTTTTATAACTTAGACACGGAATACATGAAAGGCGGGAAGTTTGAAAAGTCCTCGCAGTGACTCGCAACTTCTCAACCTCGACACGAGAGGTCTAGACTTCCGATGGTCCCCCTTGGGACAGATTTGCCGAGTTTCTTGGAGGATTTAAGCTTATAAGCACTCAAAGAGCAACCAGATGCCTCTTGCCACGGGGATCGTGGCTGGGGAGAGCCACTTGCCAGTCGGCTCGGTCCTGCGTCGGCTGAACTTGCGAGATAGCCTAGCCGAGCCTCCCTGGTTAGGGTTTAGGGTTTAGGGTGTAGGGCTTAGGGGTTTAGGGTTTAGGGGTTTAGGGTTTAGGTTACCCTCTATAATTGCCCTAACATCGCAAGGAGTTTAGGTGTCGGCATTTCCTCAACCCACCCCTCCCGATTTTGTGGGGCCTCTTGTTGTTCAAAAACTAGCTGGTACTTTGAGTCTGAGTTCCCACTCCCAGCACACCCCAGGTCCCCTCACCGGTGGAGAAACATCCTGAAACCAGAGAAGGACCTCCTTGCCTAAAACACGATGGGAACGCGCTGATTTAGGATGTATATAGCTACAGGGTATAGGCATAGGGCTACCACAAACTCGAAAGCCCCCCTCAACCCTGAACCCGCCGTCCTCCAGCATTCGGTTGAGGATCAGGGCCACCCGGGGGTTATGCGCAAAGCAGGCCGCGTGGGTGACGCTCCGGAGATCGGTCCGCGCTTGACGTCGCTGGCGGAGTCGGGCCGTCTCGCCCTGGGTAATGATCTCACCTGGTGGGTTTAGGATTTACCTGGACCCCAAAGGTATGTAGAATAATAGCCTTTTATAGGTTTTGGGCCATTATTCTACCTACTTTTAGGGGGTTTAGGATTTAGTGCTTTTGGTATATTGGCTTAACTAGTCTGCCGGGTTTTGGGGCGTTTGTGTAAATGCAGGGCCGTTAACTGCCTGAAGCGTAATAATTACCAATTTTCTCAAACTCATATTCCTGTTACAATCACCTACGACCTTAACAGGTGCTGCTAAAACATCTTGAGTCCTTACCCACCAGGGCATCTGTCCAAAACACGCACATAAAGTTTCTTGGGATGTCTTGAAGGAGTGAGTGAATGTAGAAGCCGCAACAGCCTCTGTAGAGAGTTCTGGGGGTATTATATACTGAAACCATAACAAGCCCTAAACCCTAAACCCTAAAAAGAGCCCCAAAAACACTGGCATTACAAACTTACTCGGGCTTCTTTACATGCGTGGCCTGACAGGAACTGCTCCACAGCTTCCACCGGCACCGAGTGTGTCCGCGTGGAGTCGATGGCGTCGAATAGGTCAATAAGGTCCCGCAACAATCCGAAATCCTTGAGCGGAGCTTCGCGGTTAAGATTCAAGTGTTTTCGGTATAATGGGTTTTCAGGGCTTTGAGGTATAAGAAAGCGCAATCCTTGAGCATCTTGCTTTTTCTGCCTTCTCTGCTGATTTACGGCGCTGTCGAGCTTCGACTCGGGCATAGGGTGTATATAGGAGTTGGGACAAGCAGATATCAGTTAGGAGTAGGGTTGAGGGTTTAGGCTTTAGGGTTTAGGGTTTAGAGATCCAAGGTGGCTTCTTGTGTGGATAAGGGCTGTGGCTTCTCGCATTGCTCGCCCCAAGAAATGAGCATGCTCCGTTCCGTTGCAGTGGCCCTTCATCCGGCCTCCACCAAAACCAAAACCTGATACTTTTACCCTAAACCCTAAACCTAAACCCTAAACCCTAAACTCTAAACCCTAAACCCAAACCCTTCTAATGGTCATAACTGCAAACCCGACATCCGAGCCCTGGACTCCTCGAGAACCCTAACCCCAAGCTTCACGGTAGCGAAGGCCTTGTAACACTCAATCCAGATCCTAGAAAGAGACCCCTTTAGAGGAACCCTAAAAAAGAGACCCCTTCTTCAAAGGAACCCTGAAGAGCCCCCTTTTAAGGATCTTCATTAAGTCCACAAGGCGGCTCGCTGCAAGGGCGGTTTAGGGCTTGGGTTTAGGGTCGTTCTTGGGGTTTAGCGTCGTGTCATGTCTAGTGGCGCCCTTTGACCTCGGGCTCAAGATCTGGATTTCAAGGCTTTCGGGGTTTAGGGTTTAGGTTAAGCAAGAAAAATGTACAAACAACACGAGCAGGATCGACGTCCAGGCTATACCCAAGCCCCTCAGCCCATGTCCTTCTTAACTCCGTACCCAGACTCCATGAACCCGAAAGCTCTGAACTCCCCAAAGAGCCGTAAATCCCATAACGCCTGCAGTACACCTTGAACCCTGACCGCCCACGCCCGCAGCCCGAGCCCTTAGCCCCAAATCAGAAACCCTAGGGTTTAGGGTTTAGGATTTAGGGATTGGGGTTTAGGGTTTAGGATTTAGGGTTTATAGGGTTTAGGGTTTAGAATTTAGGGATTGGGGTTTAGGGTTTAGGGTTTAGGATTTAGGGTTTATAGGGTTTAGGGTTTAGGGCTATAATGGCCCCAAAGGGGGGCTTCACGTCGGAGCCGGGGTGCTGGCTTGATCGAGGTCGCCTTCCCGGCTTTCACTTTGTCATCAGACGGCGGGTGCTTGATCCAGCGCAGCATCGTTCGAATGTCTGTCCTGACTCCACGGTTTTAAAGAGATAACGGACCTAATCCCTGGGGTTTAGGGCTTAGGGTTTGACCCTTAACCCTTCACCGTGGCTCCAGTTTGAGCCTGAAATAGTGGGCGACAAAAACAGCAATCTCCACGTGGCCCTGTTGAGGGGAGCTCGCCACATTTTGGAAGAATGTCCATTACACCGTACCTTAACCCCAAATAACCTACCTTTCTAAGGACTTTTATAAAGAAAACCAGAATAACGAACCCTAAAAGGTAGGTTCTTTGGGGTCCAGGTGCTCCCTGAATCCTCAGCGCTTCTAGAGATCCAGGGGTTAGGGGGTTATTGCTTCGAAGAGAAAGGATCTTGGCAGGCGAAGTTGAAGCTTCAAGTTGTAAGGCTTCACGTATTAGGGCCAATAACTATAGGGCTTATAATTACCCTAAACCCTAAACCCTTAAGTAGGTTTAGTATAGGGTTTACAGGGTTTAAGTAGGGCCAATCCTCGGAAGCATGGGCCAGGTTTCTGCGCTCCTGCAAGTTAGGGTTTAGGGTTTAGGGGTTTAGGGTTTAGGGGTTTGGGTTTAGGGTCGCGAGCTAAAGGCAAGTCTCAAGTGACAACTAGGCTCAGTAGGGTTTGGAGCCCAGCGGAATATCTCAACAAGAGCTATAGGCAACCCTACACCCTCCATGAGCCTTAACCCTACCCCCGAAACAAGCAAACCCAAAAAAACTCTACACCCTAAGTACCCCAACAAGCAGTCAAAGCCAGGCTTCTTCTTCGCAAAGGGAAACACGGCCTGTAGGAAACCACGCAACGTGAGCTCCATTGATGCCGTGGGCGTCACAGCTGCAGGCTTCTCCTCCGCGATTTCCTTCCTGGCTTAGGATTTGTTGTTCAAACGTTCCTTTAGGGTTTGGGGTTTGGGAGTCTGGGATACTGTGACATAATAGCAAAAGCTGTATCAAAGTCAGCTATGTTAAAACCGAACAACACAGACGATAAACAGACAAACAGCGAAACTCTAAATGTATACAGATACATGTGTTCCGAACCCACAAAAACTTTGGAGCCACGAGTTCCCGCCCAAGTCTCAGCATTAGTGAGATCTCCGCTTTCCGCCGTTCGGCAGCTTCGTGGCCTGAGAGAGAGGAGCTGTAAAGGCAAGATGGGTGGTGTTCGGGTTGCAGAACAGAAGTCTTAATAATTGTTATCCCTGTATAGCCTGGATAATAGCTCCTGTATAGTAATGGTATAATATGCCTCAAAGCCGCAGTCTAACTGTTGACTAAGGCTTCGATCTATACTCAGTGTTAGTTTAGGAAGGCGTGTCTCGACATGTACACTGTACTTCCAATGGTCTGCATAGTAGGGCCTTTGGTTCCTCTTTTTGGTCCTTGAAAGCCTACAGCATAGCTCAAATCCCTCATGCCCAAACGTCCTTAAAGCCTGACACCATACAAGTTATGTTTTCTTTTATCGCTTTGGAAACATAGCGTGTTTAGCAAGCCTAACGGCCCTAACACGAACTTCGACTTGAAGACACAAAGCTTTTCAAATCTAACAGCCCGAATCTTCAATCCAAGTAAACGTTAAAAAGCTCCAACTTGCACCCTGGACGGCCAAGCCAAAACCCCTGATCCCAAAGCCGGAAATCAATGAAAAACCCTAAAGTGGCAACTCAAGATGCCAACCATGTATTCCGGGGGACCCTTAGAGAAGCCTATTTTAATTTGAGACCCTTAACATCAACTCTTAAACCCGATAAGACCCGCATAAACCCTACGTACCCATAGGCCCCTATGCATTGGGATTACCTTGTAGGATTCTACATATATATACCATAAAAGGGAACTACTTGGGGGCCTATGGGTAAGCCCCTAGCCGACGGGAACAAAAACCACAGGCCCGGGGGCTGGTCGCATGCTTGTCCGGGTGCAAAGGAAGACCAGCCTTGAGCCTCGTGGAAAACTTAAATAACATATGATGCTATATACGTATATATATATATACACATAAATATATACACATATATATATATACACATAAATATATACATATATATATATACACATAAAGATATAAATCTATATATATATATATATTAGATTGACATATTATATATTGCTGTATTGGGGTGGGCTCTGAAGGGTAAAGGGTTCCGTAAGGGTTTGGGGCTTGGGGTCCTGAAGAGTTTAGGGTTCCAGAAGGGCCCTCTTTGAAGGCTTTCTAGGGTTTAGAGATGTTCAAGGTTCCCTAAACCCTAAACCCCTAAACCCAAAACCCTAGACCCAAAACACTAAGCCCCAAAACCCTAAACCCTAAGCCCCAAAACCCTAAACCAAAAACCCTTAGGGCTCTTCAGGGTTTAGGGGTCCGACCGTCAGGGCTCTGGTTCACAGTTGAAGTGTTTCAAGGAGGCCAGTAGACATACGGTTGATGACAAAAAATAATCCTGCATTACCCATAATAAGGAATGTACCATAATTCCCATAGTTTGGAGCCCTTAAGGTAATGCAAGATTTATATCATCAACAGTATGATGTTTAACTCTTCCGGAGTCCCTGAGCAGAGAAATTCAAAACTGCCGCTCAGCCTACGAGCCTACGAAACAGAATTCAACCCGTGAATGCCTAACTTGTCGAATTCCTAAACCCTGAACCTAAACCTCAATTTGTCAGAACGTGAGCCTGGCGACTGCGCCGATAGAAACATGCAGCTAAAGCTTCGAGGCTCTCACGTTAGCGCCATGGCCTCAAGCCCTTATGAGTCCTCAGAAACCTATAGATTCAGGGCGGAGGATTCCGCTGCCACGCTTTCGAGTTTAAGCAGGGTTCGAACGCCGAGTGGCAGCGAGCGCATGCCGCCGCCCTCGCGAAGCCAGTACTCGTCACGATAGAGGTCGAAGGCCAAGAGGACGTCGGCCTAACAACTCCGGATTCAGGGACATCCTAAACCTTGCATGCCCACCTAGACGCCCCACGCTAAATCCCAAACCTCTACACACTGCACCCGTAAACTCAAAGCTCCTCATAGCATGCCCCAGAAGCTGAACATCAACCTACACCATAGGAGCCATAGGGGTTCCCGTACCTACGTAGTTTCTAACTAGGCCTTTTACAGGGATGCACCTACGTGGTAGGTCAGGGGCGAAAGGGCATACTACATGGGCACATGGACTCGCAAGGATGCGCAGTGGGATCCTTTCATATGGCTTCCGTGATTCTATACAGGGACTCTTAATCTGTGTTGTTGAAAGGAAGGTTCCAAAAAATAAAGGCGCGTGAGTTCAACGATTGACTCAGGGTTCTAGGAGATTTCAGGGATTCATTTTCGGATGTTCTGGAAGAGCTGGGCTTAGGGTTGAGGTCTACGTGGCGAGAGCTCAGGGCTCAGCACCGAAGCATGGAACTTCGTGCTTTAGACTTGAGGCTTTAGGACTTTAGGGTTTGGGATTCGGTAGGTCTGGAAACCGGTAAGACGACAGCAGGCCCAAAAAGAAGAATGATCCTAAGTATGCGGGCTTCTGCAAGCTGCACGCTCTGTCCTCAGCCTTATCGACTATCGTACGGTCGGCATCATCATGTCTAACTCAACAGAACCCTGAAACACTGAACCCTAAACTCTGCACCCTAAATCCCGCAACCTGAAACCTGACAGGAAGCAATGGCCTTCCTAAACAGGCGTCCGCTCTCTGCTTCCAGGGTGTCGGAGGCCTGGGACACCTGAGGACATTTGGTGCGGTTGAGGCTTCGGTTTATGGTTCTATAGGGCCTCAAAAAGGATTTAGAGTTTACTTACAGGTAGAGGCAACAGGAAACGTCAAGCAGCAAGAAACCTCAATATGCGTCAATGATGGCAATGATGATCATCACCGCAACAAGATGTGCCGGGCCTATCGTTAGCAAGACTGCTTGGATGCAGCAAAAAAGGCTATGTATGTTAATGTCTACATATAAATATATATGTATTTGTATACGTGTATACATAGACACAAAAACACATATAAGTATATACTAATATATACTCAGATAGACATAGAGATAGAGTTCCAACTCGGAGGATTGGGTCGCAGGGCATGGGGTTCGAGAGGGTTTAGGCAAGAAGTTGCTGCTGTGCACAGTTCCCGGTGTCCGGTGTGACTGTTGACTGTTTCGAGGTTAAGCCGATGGCTCTCCCTGCTTAACTGTAATACCTCTACAGTCAGTGATGCCGGCGGTGCTCAAGGCCAACAGCCTTGGTAAGAACAGCTGGGAGGTCAATACCCCACGACAGTCCGACAGAGGACCGAAGCCTTCGACTGGTTTAGGGGCTGGCGTTTAGGGGTTTGTAGCGTGGACCTTTAGGGTCTATTTGGCGATCTTTTCGGCTTTCTAATCAAATGTTGACACTTTAACTGTAGAGAATCTAAGGCTTGGGCCGTACAAATTTTTAGATGGTTGTAGGGTCTATCACAATGTCCCGTCCTTCTAACGCCGGGAACCAGCAAGAATGTGTCTTTCACGTCGCTCTCCTCCTTTCAATTTCTCTCCTCCCCGGTCCTCTTCCATACCTATCCACTCTGCCGCTTGTCGGGAAGACAGCCATGACCAAAATGCAGGCGTGGAGGTGGACGAAGTGAACTCTTCATTCTCTCGTCTCTCCCTCTCGCCTTCCTTTGATTGATCCTTCTTCTCTTTTCTTGTCTTTTCGCCTTCTTCTTTCAAGGACAAGGGTAACGCGAAGGAAAGGCAAAGGGGCGACGTCAGTTCCTCCCGACGTGTTTCGTTGTTTTCCTTCCCTCTCACGTTGTTCTCTTTTGCTTCTCTCTCTCTCTCTCTCCACCCTTTTCTTGCTCCCGTTCTCTTCCTCTCTGCCACGTCTTGCTCTCTCATCTCTCCCGTCCCCTCTTTCTTTATACCTTTCTGTGAAGCTAAAGGAAGCAATAGAAAACAGAAACGAAGACATAACATGCACCCCTCCCTCCCTCCCTCCCTCCTTCCGTCCCTCGCTAGTATGTTTGAGTTGAAAACTGTCTTTATTTTTCTCCCACTCTCTTTGTCCCGTCGCTTCCCCATATTCCTTCTCCTCCTCCCTTTTCCTGCCTCCCGTCTTTCTCTCTCTATGACTCAGAAGGAAGAAGGGCGATTAACAAGGAAGAAGACAAGGGAGCAAGAGAAAAGATAAAAAGAAACGGAGAGAGAATCGAGAAGGGCAAAAGGAGAACGTGAGCCATAAGGAAAGAAGGCCAGAAACAAAGAGAGAATGCAAGAGGGAAAGATAATCAAGACGGAGAGTGGGGGAAAGACAGGAGGCGATGCAGAAAGCAGTCGAAAGTGCCTTGCCTTCCGCGTCTGTTCATTCTTTGTTCTTTTCTCCTGTCTCACTGTCTCAGTGGTGATAAACCAGGAGGAGCTTTGGAGGAAGACAAAAGCGCAGTGTTCTCCTGTTCATTCACCCTGTACCCTTCCTCTCCCACCGCTCGTCCGCTCTCCTTTCTTTGATTCTCGCGTCGTCTGGCGGAAGGTTTAGGAACCAGGAAGGAGAGAGGAGAAGGGAAAGGACAATAATGAGAAATGACGGAAAGCAGAGACATACAGAGACAGCGAGACAGAGCTTCAAGCCCAGCAGAGGAAGAAGAGTGAGAAATGAAGATCGGAGAAGAGGCGGAAGGGGTGGACAGAAGACATGTCAATCAACGGCTCTCAGCGCCTCCTCTGCGTCCGAGCCAACCAGAGAGGCCCTGTAGGATCGGACCGTGAAGCCACCGGTGCCTTGGCGAAGAGGTGGGATTGGGACTCCTACGAGCTACAGAAATGTAAGGTTTAGGATCTACAGGATGATAGGGTTAATATATATAGGGCTGAGGATATAGGCTTTAAAGAGAACAGGATCTTGCGGCAGTGGCCACCAGGACCAATATTGGTCCCCTCTCCCCCGGGCAGATGGGGTGTAATCTTGACGGCCTCAAGACGCCAGATGCTGCATGCCAAATCTTCGTTGCCCACAAAACCAGTACTTCCAAACCCACTTCGCACAAGCCTGATTTCACGCATGTAACCCGTTAATTACTCCTCTGACGCCAACCTCTCTAGACATGCCAATGGGCTTGGCTACTGCCAGCATCTCCTATCCAACCATAAGGACAGCCCTAGCCTTCTTAAAAGTTGAGCACTTGGCACTCATTCAACAAGCCCGACAGCTTGAACCTTGCTGTGGCGACCATGTCCTTTCAGGCAAACCTCACCCCGGCTTCCACAGAAGTTCTGGATAATTGGCCTTCTTTCTTTGGGGGCCAGGATCACAGATTCCCTCTCCTTCAGGTAGAGTGGCTCAACACAGCCTGCCTGTGAATTGAAAATCCATGATTCCGACCCAGTACTTTGGGGAACCATAGAATTCAGAATACCTTGGCTTTAAAGGGATTGTTACAGCGTAGGTATGGCTTGGGCGCTCGAAGACTCTCCCAATCCCAACCTGAAACTCGAAACCCGAAACCCTAAACCTAAAACCCTAAACCCTAAACCCTAGACCTTAAGGGTTTATAGGGTTAAACGGTTAGGGTTTCGGGACCTTGACGCTCAACACTTCCCATGATTCCGAAAGCCTCGGCTTCAACCTTAGATCCGGATACCTTTGACATGGAAGAGTCGCCTCCGCACTGAGCCATCGACCCTAAACCCTAAACCTTAAACCCTATAAACCCTATAAGCCCTAAACCCTAACACTGTGAGAGCGAGGGTACAGCAACAAAAAAAAACGTCAAAAGCCACCGACACCTGACGACTTCTGAAGGAGGCCTAGAAGTTTATCAACCCTCAACTGTAAGCCCATCAACCCTAAACCCCAGTCCTGAAAGCCCGAAACAAATTGAAGCAACCAGGCGCTTCCTCGGCCCTTCGGCCACTGCTCGGAACTCGCATCCTCTAAGCAGGGCTTTGCTGTCTTGCAATTTTTTGGGGCTGGAAGTCTAGGGTTCAGCTATGTTTTCGTAGGATTTGAGATTTTAGGGTTGGGTGTCTTCGAAACACAGAAGAATCTGATGCAGTCTCTCGCTTCAAAACAGATACCCACGATGCGCTGTGTCTGATGTCACCGGACGCTCCGCAACCCTTGCAGGAGCCGCTGTTGCTTATTGAAGTCTGGACTTCTGCTCTCTCAGCGCTCGTTTTCCCATCACCTCCCCCAAACCCAAACTCTACACCCTAAGCCCTAAACCCTAAACGGCTGCAAGCTTGAAAGCCCTTTGTCGGCATCATTTGCTTCTATGCGAAGTTAGCGTCTGAAGCTTGGGGCAAAGTAGTTGCAGACATGAACACCTCAGGGCCAGCGTGTCTGCCATGATATATGCTATAATGTACTATAGCATACTATGGTATATACGCTATAGTATACTATAGCCCTAAACCCTAAACTCCTAAACCCATGGTATACTGTAGTAGGTACAGGCGCAAGGACTTGAGTGAGCTAAGGCCGCGGGTTTGAATATTGAAGGTGTGTAGCGACGAGGGCTGCAAAAGACGACTTCAAGCTCGTGCCTGATAAAGGATTTAGTTTAAGATACTATTAAAATAATACGGAAACCAAATTTTTTTACTATAGATCCCTATTATGGTAAACCCTAAACCCTAAACCCCTAAACCCTAAACCCAATGGTAACTTCCCAAAAATCACATAGAGCTCCCTTAGAAAGACCCTACGAGTCATGTTTTGCGAAAGGGAAACCCCAAAGCACTGGAGCCTCAAAATAGGTTTAGGGTGTAGGGTTTAGGGCTTTACGGGTTTAGGGGTTCAGGGTTTGGGGGTTTTGGGGTTTAGGGGTTTAGGGTTTAGGGGTTTAGGGTACCCTACCTAAAAGTAGCAACACCGAACCCAGAAAGCCCGAAGCCCAACTCCCAAAAGCACCCCTACCAGCCTGACCTCCTGGAAACACAGAGGATTTGCTACCCAGTCTAGAATCAGATCCCAACAACCACCAAAAGCAAGGTCTTTGGGACCAAACTCCCTGATGGTAGCATATATGGACCCTCTGACACCAACCCATGGGACTGTATCCGGCGCCCACCCCTACAACCCCCAAAACGCAGACCTTAAGCCCCTATAAAGAGCTTCTAGACACCGTATACGAGCCCTCAAGACACCTTAAACGAACCTTCAGAGGCCCACCCCCCTCCCCCCCAAAAGCCTCACACCCTAAACCCTAAACCCTAAACCTTAAACCCTAAACCCTAAACCCTAAACCCTAACCCTAAACCCAATGAGTCCTGAGAGCCGAATTCCATGCGCACTCGGTCCTGGAAACCGGGCGGAAGCTTCCCAGAAAGTCCATCCTAGCCTACTGGTTAGATACTAGCCGTTACTACGTAGCCTTAATGAAGCAGTATATGCCTGCAGGCATGAAGTACAAAAAAAAAGGCTGGAGCAATGTCTGCTTGAAAGTATGAGGTTTTTCTATGAAAAAGAGGCTGGAATGATTTTACTCGAGCTTTGAAGGGATTCTATGAGGCCTGAAGAATTAGACTAGAGTTTGGAGGGGTTTTGGCCCTGAACAGTAGGACTAAGGTTTTGAGGGATGGAGCCCTAAAAATAAATGTGACGAATGAATCGCGCTTCTTGGATCCGGTTTCCGCAACGTGCCCGGCTTGACGGTGTTTCCAGACTTGTAGGTAGTAGTGGGGGAGTCTAGGTGGGGTGTATTGTGAATAAATCTAGGGATTCACTTGTTTCTCGGTCAGGGTCTAGGGGTGTGGCGTTGGCGGTGTTCAGGTCCACGCATATGCTCTATCAATCTCTTGAAAAACAAGTCAGGTAACTAGGAATACAGTGGTAGTGGTAGTACAACTTTTGGAGCATTCGGAGGGCTCCGGGCTCAGATTCTAAGAGCTTGAAGTCTGGGGCATAGCAAGCGCTCCCTCCCAAAACCCTAATACCTATCTTGGAATCTCGGAAAATCAGGACCCCAATCTAGAACCCTGCACAGTACGGGATCCTTCTGTTTTAAAGGACTTCAAACCCTAAACCCTAAACCAAAACCTTAAACCCTAAACCCTAAACTGGATGGGACCCCTCAGGCCAAGGATTCCTATGCAGCCCCCACTCCACCCTAAACGGCCACAACAGACCCCAAACCAAAGTACCCACTATACAAAAGTGCCTGGAGTCCCAAACCCCGATCCCCATACACCTAAAACCCCTATACCGTTAAAAAAAAAACCAAACCCAAAAACCCTATAAGCCCTAAACCCACCCGTTCCAGACTTTGACTTGCTATGCCTACGAGGCACCTAAGTAGTTCCTTTTTCATATTTAGAATCCTACTATTTTCAGGCAATCCCAAAAAAGGAACTACTTTAAGGCCTCCGGGTCTGCCTACCGAGGCACCTCAATGGTACGGCTGGGTGCTGTAGAGCTGGAGACCACAGAGTCGACCACCGCCTGCCTAGGAGTCTCGGGGCTCTCGGATTTCAGGCTTCGCGTTTAGGGCTTATAGGGTTTATGGGGTTTAGGGGTTAGGGTTTCGGGTTTCGAGTTTAGGGTCTAGGGTTTCGGGTTTAGGGTCTAGGGTTGAGGGGGTTTGGGGGTACTATATAACCACAAGAAGAACTTCCATGTACTCTAGAAGTTCCGGGCTTCTTCCTTCGGAAGGTCCAGCCTTTCAGGGGTAGGGGCCGATGTGATTCGCTCTGGAGCTTAGGGTGCCCCAAAGTTGGACCATGTAATGATTACCCAGAGACCCTTATAGGGGCCTTAACATTATGATTTAAGGTATATTCCTTAACTAAGGGGTCTTGGATTCTCTGATTGCATTTGTTGCTGTCTAAAGCCTTGCTGGTCCCTGTTTCCCGTGCTGTCAAGCAAAACTCCTTCACAAAGATAAGCCAACAAACCCTAAACCCTAAACCCCTATAAGCCCTAAACCCTAAACCCCTATAAGCCCTAAACCCTAAACCCCTATAAGCCCTAAACCCTAAACCCTAAACGGCCCTAAACCCCTAAACCATAAATGGCCCTAAACCCCCCTTCCCAAAATGACGCCGAGTCGCACGGCAGTGGGTGTCAACGGCCGTGGTATGCCGGACGGCAGAACTCCTCCCCGGGCCACGTGGGACGAGCTGGCCGTCCAAAGACGACGACCCACCTTCTTGCTTTGGGGTTCGGGGGAGCGGAGGCTTAGGTTTAGGGTTTATAGGGTT